TATTGTATATTGTGATAATACCATTGTATTATTAAGTTAATATAGGTGATTATTTCATTCCGATTGTTTTGTTATAAAATAGTTATTATTTTCCCTCTGATATGATAGTATTATTGTAATATTGTGGTAATATCTTGATATTATTAAGATAATATAAGATAATATAAGTTAAAACAACTGGCATGAATATTATAATATCAATATTTTAGTCGTATTTAGTTAATATTATGGTAATATTAAGATTTTATTGCTTTTTATATCATAGATTTCTGTAATGAAATGTATATAACTAATATACGACCGCGAAGTGGAGAATACAGTAAATGAATATTTCAATCAAACCAGGATATATTCCTTATCGAACGCTATTATATCTTGGTTGTATTATGATAATATTTTGGTAATATTCAAAGCAGATTATTCAACACTGGCTATAAAAAACTCGTAAAAGATTTTAATCAATCATAGCTTATTCTATACATATTTAGTGAATATTATAATAATTATAAGGTTTTATTGTTTTTTATTTAACACGTTTTATGATGAAGTATATAAAAACATCTTAATATTATAAATATATCCTCAGAACAACAAAGATACGGCCGCGGAGTGGAGAATACAGTAAAAGAATATTTCAATCAAACCAGGATATATTCCTTATCGAGTGCTATTGTATACTGGTTGTATTATAATAATATTATTGGTAATATTTTGGTAATATTCAACGTATGTTATTCAACATTGACTATAAAAAAACTCGTAAAATATTTTAATTGATCCTAGCTTATTCCAGACATATTTAGTAAATATTATAATAATTATATGGTTTTATTGCTTTTTATTTAACACATTTAGAGATATATAAAAACAACTTAATATTATAAATATATCATCAGAACATATATCTTCGGAGCTACCAAGATACGATCGCGGAGTGGAAAATACAGTAAAGAAATATTCCAATCAAACTAGGATATATTCCTTATCGAGGGTTGTTATATCATGGTTGTATTATAGTAATATTTTGGTAATATTCAACGTAGGTTATTGAATGCTGGTTATAAAAAACTCGTAAAATATTTTAATCAATCCTAGCTTATTCCAGACGTATTTAGTGAATATTATAATAATTATATGGTTTTATTGTTTTTATTTAACATATTTTATAATGAAATATATAAAAAACAACTTAATATTATAAATATATTCTCGGAACAACTAAGATACGACTGCGGAGTGCAACTGCAGAGTGCAGAATACAATAAATGAATATTTTAATCAAACCAGGATATATTCCTTATCGAGCGCTACTATATCGTGGTTGTATTATGATAATATTTTGGTAATATTCAATGCAAGTTATACAATGCAGTATAAGAAAAAACTCGTAAAATATATAATCACAACTAGTTTATACCACTCGTATCTGCATGAATATTATCGTAATATTGAGGTTTTATTTCGGTTTATTTGACATATTTTGGTAATGAAATTTATAAAAACAACTTAAAGATGTTGATAATATTAACCGCAGACTATAATAAACTGACAAAATATCAAACAATATTAACACTGCAGAAACTACATTAATACAACATTACATTCATTTGTTGTAGTTTCTTGGTATTTCACATATCATTTACGTCCATCAATAAGCTCGTATATGTGTCTGTGGGCAGTGATGCATGCAATTCCTATTGATTTTGGGTAATAAAAAATGAATGTAAGTAAATAAGTATAATCAAAATTAGTTCACAAATTACAAAGTGTTTTGAATTTTAAGTTATGTACCTGACTATATCGATCCAACATTGCAAACATGTTTGGGTCGGATGGATGAAATGTATATTGGCTTGAACCAACATCTTTGTCCTTTCCTGTAATACAATGTTTCATGTTAGGTTTATTGATACTATTGATAACGAAGACATGTTTATTAATACTACTAGTAATTCTTACTTTTTTACTCTCATGTTCTTCTCCCAATATTCTTTTAACCTTACATTATATATTCATTTTGGTCGCATTTTCATTGGGACATTCAAATTGTTTTGTATATTCGGTGTATTTTTCTTCTTTGACTTTGACATTTTCTGCTGGTCTCTCCCATTCAATATAGTCTCTGATTCGATTGTTAGTTTCTTTAATGTCTCCAGGACGTTTTTCTCAGCAAGTTCATTACCTTGCGTAAATATACTGATATCGTATGCAAATTTATGAACATGTGTTCGATATATGAGTCCACTTAAACAACTTAGTGACGTTTGCGAATCCTTCAGATGTTTATACCCATAACTGTTATATATATCCCACTTTGCATGAACAGACCACCATAATAATATATATTTATCAGGGTTCTTTGTTATATTCTCATGACTAAGCACCCTTAGAGTGTGAGAGCATAATAAACCCATCATTTCAATTTTTTTGCAATAACATGTAATTTCAGAGTTACTTTTGTTGACTTTAATAATCCAGGGTATGTCTGTGTATCCACTATCTAAGTTTCTAATAAAAAATTCATAATCTTTGGTGACCGAGCACTCCACAACAAGTCCACACAAACCATGTAGCAACTCTGCTTTAAATATTGAAAATAATTTCCTCATATAAACTAAAACACATTGTCTTAACACATGACTACTTTTTATAGCAGGAACAATTGCAGACTGTTCATATTTAAAATCTTCATCCTTCTCATTTCTCGCCAATATTTCATGACATTTTCAAGACCCAATAAACTTTTAGTGAGGGTGCTTTTTGGCTTGGAGGCACCATGACAGATGTTATTCATGGACTCACTTCTTTGCGTTTATTTGATTCCGATAGCAAATATTTTCTTATCGAAGGCAGTTGATCACTTATGTCTGATATTGTACAAACTATTCAACAAAGCATTGTCATGTAGATTTCATAGCTCAATCATTGTACGTCAGGTTTCTTTAAACTCCTCCTTGGAGTTGCATCTGCTAATGCATTTATAAAAAAAACTCATTGACTCTATTGGTGCTCACACCATAATGGACTTTTAAAGAAAATTTCTTGTAAATATATCATTGACAAAGTTTATATTTGGTGTGCAGAAGATACTCTTCAATGACTCTGGCCATTGCTTGATACTGGTCAGTGAATATTGATCTCAGATGCTTGTTATCCATTATCCAGATAAATGATTTGAATAGCCACTTGAATGAGTCAACAATTTCGTCTGACAAAAAACCAACTCCAAATAGAATATTCTGCTAGTGGCGGTTCACACCGATAATATGAACACAACATAAATTGTATTTATTAAGTCTATAACTTGTATCAAATATTATGACATCTTCAAACCAATCGTAATCGAGCATGGATATCTCATCAATCCAAACGAAATTCAACAAACTACCGGACTCATCAATCTGGACGTTCATCGTATCTTCAGCTTGCCTCTCAGTGAACAATCATAGAAGAGAATTAGCGTCCCCATGTTCAATTTTAACTTCTCTCTTTTTGTATGAAATTATAATCATCCCTTTTTGTGCAATTAAGATTTTATACACTCTCGAATTCTATAGCCAGAAAACTAAATGATCGCTTGTTCTAATCCCTAAATGTAGCATCGATCTAAGCACTTTTGCATTGATATCGCTCATATTTCTGCTGCAACACAATAGATGTTTGCTACTGTCCGCCGCCAAATGATGGTTATGACTTTCTATAAATTTCTTAATCAACCAATTTACCTTCGAGATCGACGACATATTAGATCATGACTGAACAACCAGTCATTTTATTCCCTCTTCTGTACTTCACCGTCACATTGTTATTCAATTCTTTCTTGAAACTAGTCTTACCACAAATGAAATTATTTGTCTTAATCATGTTTGAATTCGACTAAAAACCAACGTGGTCCTTTCGCACAGTAAATCCAATTTGGTGTGCATATGCACAATATTGTTCATTGACTTCTTTCTCATTATGAACCACTGTGCGAAGCAATCTTTTCACAATTGGATCAATGCACACAGTTACAAGCTCGAGGAACTGCAAATTTCAATATAACATCATTAAAATGACAAAAATAACACTTTAACAAAATCAATTAATAAATCCAATAAGACGAATATGAAACGATACAAAAATAATAACATAATACCACCATAATAATGCATAAATAATACCATAATAAAACAAAAGTTGTTCAAAGTCAATAATACAACAATAATATCATAATATAACCATAATAACACATAAATAATACCAAAATAACACTAATTACAACCACAACATAACACAATGATAATACCAAAACATATAA